TTTTTTTTTTTTTTTTTTTTTTTTTTAAATTTTTTTTCAACGTTTATTTATTTTTGGGACAGAGAGAGACAGAGCATGAAGGGGGGAGGGGCAGAGAAAGAGGGAGTCACAGAATCGGAAGCAGGCTACAGGCTCTGAGCCATCAGCCCGGAGCCTGACGCGGGGCTCGAACTCACAGACCGCGAGATGGTGACCTGGCTGAAGTCGGACGCTTAACCGACTGCGCCACCCAGGCGCCCCATCCTATCACCTCTTTAACTGCAACTATGTTCAATGTCCGGGAACCTGCGAATGTTCTTTTATACTTCCAAGTGTTAGCCTATGGCAAGTGCTCTGCCTGGAACGTACATTCTCTGTGAATCTAATTTGTGTGATTTTTCTCAACCTGATGTACAAATCAAACACTGCACATAAGATTTCTTTGTTTTCTCTAGACAGAGTTAGGTCAGCTCTGCATTTGTGCTCCTACAGAAGTATGTATATGTCTTTATTAGAGCATTTATTTCATTTTATTTATCTTTTTTTAAAAGTACATATTTCCTATCAGACTATAAATGTAAGAAAGAAATTGCATCCAGGTATCTTTATATCCCCAGAATGTTTCATAAAAATAGGCACATAGCAAGCCTTCAATAAATGTTTGCTGAATGAAGTGAAAGAGTGCCTCTTTGACTTCAGACATGTCCCTCCCTGGAAGAGCCAACATGGGAAGAACATGTTTTAGGAATGAGTGGCTAGGAGACATAACTATGTCAGATATGAACCAAAACAAAAGAATAATAATGAATTTCAAAGAGTTAATGGCAGCCACAATGATGGTAATGGCCACCCCTACCACTAAAAATAAGATTAAAAAAATAGACAAGATAAGCAGGATAGTAGGAGAGGGATGGGGATAAATATGAATTTCACCGTGGCTGTCTTTCAAAGGAGACACATGCCAAGCTATGTATATGAGACAAGGTTAATGATGAACTCTGAGAATATTCTGTCCATGTTTTTTTTTTTTTTTTTTTTTTTTTTTTTTTTTTTTTTTTTTTTTTTTTTTTTTTTCTCTTTTGGTCAGTTCCTACCCCATACACTCAATTCTGTATTAAGAATATTAACAAAAGGAAAAGGAGATTAAGGATAATCTCAAATTAGTACTACAACATACCTAGAAGTACAGTATGAAATGGTATTAATATAACCTTAATGTTTAAAACTATATCCAACATGGTGGAAAAACTAGTATTTGGGCCTATAAATGATATCTAAACCTATGTCCTTCTCCCACCCTCACCATACACTTTGCCCCCTGCTCTACCCAGTACCTGAGTGTCTTTCCCACTTTCCCCATTCAGTTCCAGTTTTACAGCAACCTATAGAAGGCTTTTCACCGTCGAGGGCTAAGCAATCTGAGAAATGGAGGTTGAAGCTATAACTGTTTAAATGTCTCCTCCCCTCCTCAAATACACCTGCTTAAATTTTTTTGTCAGCACTTATTCCATAACTGGTTAATTTGCCAACGCATAGTTAAATGTTGACTATTTATGTACACTTTACCTTCCCATAACAACATAACGTGTTTTAGACGAGACTCTGTTTCTAATTCAGATGTGTGTGCAACAGAGTTTCATAAATAACTCAATGAAAAATAAACTAATATAATTAACCCAATCCAATGTCAAAATTGCAATGAGAGAACATTATATGGAAAGATTAGTACCACAAGGTATCTTAAGTTTCGGCATGCCCTCAAGCCTCCATCAGTTACCCTGCCTCAAACCACCTCTAAAAACAATTTAAACAGAAACAGTATGCTCAAGTAGGCAAACGAAACTTCAAATGCTTGTTAATGCTGATAAGTAACATAACTTTCTAGGGTATGGAACATTTAATATTTCTTAATATTTAATGTCCTGAAATCTAATAGTGAAAAGAATGGTTTATTTCACATCCAGTCCCACTTAATTCTCATACCATACATGTGATGCACACAGATGCCACACAGCCAGGCCAGGCTTACTGGACTCTGAGATTTAGCATTTTAAGTTCCATGCTCTGGACCCCATGCTACCCTCATAAGCCCAGGTGATGCAAGTTTGCACTATCAAATTTACTAAGACATAAAGCACAGACAGGTTTTTAAAACTGTTAATAATGATAATATAAAAATAAGTGTACTCATTCTCAACAAATAGAATTATATAATTCTTTAGATTATATAAACTACCCTCAAGAAGAAATTAAATATTTTAAATTTCCAATTCAACAACAAATAATCACTTGCTGTCCAATAAACACAGTTCCACAGTATGTACTATATAAAATAACACAAAAAAAAAACCCCACAAATAATCCTTGAGCTGTATATAAGTTGCTAAATAGATATTTACATTTTAAAAATGACTACAGCATTCCCCAATTATACTATTTGATATTGACTAAATCTTTTAAAATAAAAGATAGAAGTGCAACAATAAGACTTTCGTATGTACTTATATGAAGGATAAAATTAATCAGCATAAAAATATAATTAGGACAAAACAGGTGCCCCAAATCTAAAGAATTGAAATTCATAACTTTCCTTTGTAAGGCTGATATATAAACATTAATTTTTCAGTAACACAGAGTTATTAATTGATAAACCTTAGAAACTACCTTCCTACCTGCTATTGTATATTATGGAGATGAGGATGTTTTGCTTGGGTTCTGATTTTTGTGGAGGGAAGTGGGTGCCTAATTTTAATCTAGATCGTTCCCTATACTAGTAGGAAGCAAAATGAGTAATTCCCAAGATAAATCACAAAACTGATTAGAGAAAGATCAATTATATCACTGATCAGTTACCAAAAGAAATGAAAATACACAACCAACCAACTCTTTTAGGAACCCTACAGACTTACATAGAACCATTTCTAACTACTTGGCACAGCCAATGAAAGAGAAAGAGTAAATGCTCTCTTCCTTTGGTGTACTTAAGGTCGGCTGCCATTATTATGTTAATTCAAACACGTTATCAGAAATACTTTGGGAGAATCGTAAAAACTCACTATAGGTTGTTTGCCAAGGGTCCCAAAGCTCAACTCATTTCAAGTGCTTAAGAAGATAATCCCATGCAAAGTTAACACGATCTAAAATTGTTTGAAAACAAGAGTAAGATTTCGTCTTCATGCTTAAGGGTAGAGGAACTGTTTAACCCATAAAGAACTACAGAAGTAGTGAAGGGGAATGAAAATGGTGAATGCCATTTCTACCCACCATGGTGACTCATGACCTGCCCAGCAGCCTCCATGCTGACATTCTGGAGATAGTTGTGGCAGCGTTCCTTGTGCTCCTCCAGTGAACTGCGCTGCTTGTAGCTTCGTCCACAGTAGTTGCACTTGTGAGGTTTACCCACTGCAAAGAGAATGCGAGGTTAGCGTGCCAGCAGTCTCATCCAAAGCAAAATTAATATCTGACTTTTGATAGTGTGGAGGAAGCATTTATATGCCTTTCAGACTCAAATCTCTTCCTCCTCCACACTCTGATTTAGGCGAGAAAAGCTAATAAATTTCTAACAAGACTAAAAGCGAGCAAGAAGATAAGGTAGATCGTACCTTTGGAGATAGGGGAAATACTGAATCAAATTCATGCTCTGACTGTATCCTAGATCATGAGGGGCTGATGATCAGTCTTCAAATTATCTGACTCGTAATACTAACATTTGCCCTTACACAATTCTCTCAGCTTTGACTCATTCAAAAGACAAATCACGAGTGTCCTAGATACATGGTAAGAATTTTTTTTTAATTTTTTTTGCAGGGGGAGGATAAAGACAGAAAATTTTTACTGAAGAAAATAAAATGCAATAACTTGAATGTCATCGTTTAGTGAAAAGATTATTCATGGGCACCAAGGAGACTAAAAAGAATTCAAGTGATGAGAAAAAGTAAAGATAAAAGCAGAGAGTTTCTCTTTTCTTTCCACCTTGGTAATAACTATTCATACATGCAAAACTTTGCAGAGGAGAAGTAGATTCTCCCACATCAGCCCTGTTCTTAGGTTACCAAGAACTAACCTACTAGGTGCTGTGAGTCAGAATTATTAACAGTAACCACTGAAGTCCCAACATATTTAGTTATACAATGATAGCAGCATTTTCTAATGCATTTCACATTCAGGAAATGAATTTTCTTAGTGACCAGAGAGCCGTATGTCAATATACCTGGTAAAATACTTCAATGCTCACATTAAAAAACAAAACAACAACAACAACAAAAAAAACTTTGATGAAGGAAAACACATTTATGGAAAGAGATATGTTTTAATGTATGTCAAGTCACAAGGATATCAGAGAGCACATTAATTCTTGGTTTTGAACGAATATAGGAAAAAACATAAAACACCAGCTGGTCTGTGCCAAAGCCCTCATCAGTAAAGCACAGTATGAATCAGGTCAGTGGCCCTCATCTGACATAGGAATCACTTTGTTCTGCCCAAAGGACAAACAGACCACTCTTTTTCATAGTCAAAGATAGTATCTCTAACTCCAGTCACCTTACAAACCCACGCTATGACGCTGGTCACAAGAGGAACTGAAATACTGTAACAAGGCAAGGTGTTCATAGCTGCATAGAAATTTCACTATACTAAAACACACACACACACACACACACACACAATTTTTTAAATTGTATTTGAGGTACACATAAAGTCACTTATTTCATGGTCATAATTTTTCAAAATGGTGTTAAATAAAAGCTATCCAAGGCAGGATTAGTCATTTCTAAAAATATGAGGCAAACTAACTTCTATTTTTCAGAACCAAGGATTTCTATACATTGAACCAAGGTATCTCTATATTGTGAAAAATCTTTATCGCTGTGTGAAAGCATTAAAAATTATAATACTTTTAGTCAAAAACATTCATGTAAATAATATATTTATACATAATTGCATTTTAAGATACAGGACTACATACTACAAAAAGCTTTTGTTTGCTATTACGGTTACTTAATTTGGCGGTTTCTTATTGCTGTTTCTCTAGAAACAGGTGAATTTGCACTGAACAAGTCTACCTGTAGCTCACTGTAAACTAGTTTCCTCATCTCTCTCTTACCCCTTGGCACTCCTATTGCATTGTGTCCTAGGATACTATGTTTTACTATGAACATATCAACCTACTATGCTTTCTTCCCCTTATTTATATAAGCAAACCTGAGACCTCTCAATTTAATTTAAACATAGTTCCCTTACACTCCCCTTGGCTCACAATCCTTTAGGAACTTTTAACTCACCTGACAAGGAAGAAAAGACCGTATACTTTTTACTGTTTTTGAAACTCATTTTTTTTACTAGCCTCATTTTTGAAGTCTATCCTATATTCTCCTTTACATCAGCTTCTCCCATTTTGACATCTACTTTAAAACATCGCTCTTGGGGCACCTGGGTGGCACAGTTGGCTAAGCATCCAACTTCAGCTCAAGTCATGATCTCATTGTTTGTGAGTTCAAGCCCCACGTCGGGCTCTGTGCTGACAGCTCAGAGCCTGCAGCCTGGTTCAGATTCTGTCTCCCTCTCTCTCTGCCCCTCCCCTGCTCATGCTCTGTCTCTCTCTCTCTCAAAAATAAATAAACATTAAAAAATTAAAATAAATTGCTCTTTCCTCTTCATCCCAAGTTGAGCAAACTGTTCTAGAAGTATAACCTCAATTTCCCCAAATCTTGATCTGTGCTCTACTATAGCAATCCACATACTGGGCAACATATGTTGGACTTTGATATCCTCTGTTTTATCTCTAAGACATGTACTCTGGGAATGCTCCATCTTGTCCCTCTGTCTCTCATCTAATATGTATTGGAAAAAAGCCTATCATGTACAAACACTGTGATGACGCTGGAATGTAAAGTGGAGAACACTCTCTTGGTGCCTATCATCCTCATGCAACTGGTAGTCTGGTGAGGAAGACAGACATTTAACAAATATATAAGCAATATCTTACAAATTGTGGTAGATTCAATGGAGCAGAACGGTGTGCTAGCATAATGTGGGGAGCCAAATTTAGTTGGATAAAGTTGGATAGGAAGGTCTGCCTGAGGTAGGAACACTTTGGCTGATAACTGAAGGAAAAGTAAAAGTGAATCAGATAATGGGGGTGGTGGAGCAGGGTCGAGGAGAGGCAGTGTTTGAGAATTTCCAGGAACTGCTGTCGTCCTCGTGTTTGTTCTCATGTACTCAGCCCCTTCAAAGTCTAGATCATGTCCTTACTACTTTTTTGAAAATTATTTTCAGACATCATCAACAATCCTTGCCAGACCTAATGGCTCTACTAGCCCCTGAAGACCACTTCCCTCCTGTCACTCCTTTGGTATTTCTTAAAAATCAAGTTCACAGAAATATTGTTTACATTTACTCCATGATGAGTTAGTTCATCTGTATGCTTATAAACCATGAGTTAGTACGTAAAACAAATACATTCATAGAAGACCAGTATTTTACATTTATTTTGATAAATATTAATACATTCTCACCATCTCAAACACTTCCATTCTGATATTACTAAAACATTTTTATAAAGTCATCAGTAGCCTCTGAATCACTAAAGCCAGTGGACTTTGATTCTAAATCTTCCTAATTTCTTGGCCACTATCAAACTTTCATGTGTCTTGAATCTCCTATTTGAGCTTCTGGGATTAGATTTTGTGTTTCCCCTCACTGGCTTCTCAATGACTCTTCCTACCTGGCAAATAGATATGTAACTTCAGATTTTATTCTCACTATAATTAACAGTCTCCCTCTGTTCCCTCTAGGTGAAGCCCTCATTTCAATGAAATGTCCAAACTGTGCTTGGAATAATTTCCCATGTTTGTAAGTAGCTACTGGTCATTTAAACCATTTTAGAATGATGTTGGTGAACCAAAAGATGGAGTTTTCTTTTCTGTGCAATCACAGCACTCTGTCCATACTCTGTTGATGCATTACTTATGATAATTGCATTCTAATTATCCATACAATATCTATTCATCTCCCTAGTCCAAAAAATGAGCTTTGTCCTAAAGGCAGAGATGGTGTTTTACTCAGTGCTTGAATTGATAGTGCTTGTGGTGGTTATTAAACATAGAAGACACTCAATATATATTTGCTGAGTAACTGCCCTTCAACCTCATACTATCAAATGCCTTTTGAGTATTGCCTCATGTATATTCCTCTGAAATCTAAAATTCAGCAAATTCAAAATTATCTTCCTCCACAAAATTACTTTTTTTTAATGTTTATTTATTTTTGAGAGAGAGAGACAGAGTGTGATCGGGGGAGGGGCAGAGAGAGGGGGCGACAGAGAATCCCAAGCAGGCTCCTAGATGTCAGCACACAGGCTGATGCGGGGCTCGAACTCGTGAACCGGGAGATCATGACCTCAGCTGAAGTCAGACGCTTAAAAGACTGAGCCACTCAGGTGCCCCTCCACAAAATTACTTCTTTATTCTGACTGTTCTTTTGTGCCGCTGTTACCACTGTTTTAATAATCCAGACTCACAACAAGACAGCCCTTTTTGTTGCCTCCTACCTCTTTTCCCACATCCCAGTAATTGCTAAGTTCTATATACTCAACTCCTTTGATGTTTCTCAAGTTTATCCTTCTTTCTCATTCCCACAACCAATATGCAAGTTCCGTTCTTCATTATCACTAGCCTGGGCTGGCACAATAGACTTCAAACCAGCTGTTTTCTTGCATAATTATTTTAGTCCTCTCCTTAACAACATTTACTGACTCTTAACTTCTATTGAATAATTCCAAATATTCCAAATCCCTTTACCTGGCATTCAGTACCCTATACTAACTGGCCCTAAGTCATACATCCCATCTTCTACCCCAGGATCCAGCCAAAATCACCTGGAGCTTTTACACTTGAGTCTTAGTTCTTTCTGGAATGGCTTCATACAATTTGGCCCTCTTGAAATCCTATTCATCCTTCTATTCCCAACCTCCTTAAACCACATTCCATCTAAAAGTGATCTTTCCCACTAAAGAATCATAACTGTATTGGCCCTCATACCTAGGAAACATTTTATCATGTATTTGCGGTTATTTATATATACATTCATTTTGATCTCTCCCATGTTAGACTGTGACCTTCTTGAGAAACTGGAGCAGTGTCATATGTTTTTGTAACCTGCAACAAGTTTAGTATGGTGATTTGTTCACAGCAAGAATACATGGGGTTTTCATTAGTAACATCATTTCTTAACACTTTAAATATTTTTTTCTCACTGGCTTTCCTTAAATTTCCCTAAATTTCCAACTTTCAAAGCAGTGCATCTGTATAGAAAATATGAAAATTCACCAAAAATATTTGTAATTATACAATTTGGAGATAGCTGTCTTTAACATTTTTATCATTTTCTTGCATTTCTTCTTG